GATATTTTCGGACATTGTTTAAGAAAAAAAATTAAAATTTTAGTAATTTTAACAATTTTTATGATAGTAGTAACCACACTAGGGAGTGTGGTTTACTATTCATGATACCTTTCTTCTAAAATTTTGAAAGAATATTTTAGTATTTATACATTTTAAAACTATAATAAATAATAGGTAAAATAAAATTGATAGTTTTAGCTTTTCTTTTCCTTATATAATTCTCAATTTATAAATTTTTCTCTTTTTTTTCAAAAAAAGAAATTTTAGTCAATTTTTTATATAGAATTTATTTGATAACTTTTCTTATATCTTGTTTTTTTAGAAAAAGGAGAATCAAGATGTTCTGATATTAAAAATATTAAGACATCTAATAACAAATACATGATAAATTTAATAAAGTTAAACCTTATACTATATCTCATATATTTAATAATTGTATTTAACCATTCTAACATTTTTAATATCCTCTTTTCTTTTCTTTTCTTTTTTTTTTATAAATAAAGTGAATATATTTTTTTTTTTGAATCTAAGGAATTATGGGAGATTGTGAAAATTTTCAAGTAATCAATAAAAACCAAACTTCTAATCAATTAAATTTAAATATCAAAACTTAAAAACGAGCCATCAAGCTCGAAGGCCCAATTCCAAAAAAGTGAATATATATTCAATAATAAAGTACAAAAAAGATATTTCTACTCATTATATTACTATGTTTTAACTTTTTCTATATATTTTTTACCACGCACAAAAATATTAATTACTTAATAAAATTTTATTACAAAACTTATTAACTTACACCTAGTTTTAGAAACTCAATGACATTAGCGATTGAAGAGGTGCATTCTCTTTTTCTTGGATGGGTTTCGAATCCATCTCATGTCAAAATGTTAAAAAAAAAAAAAAAAACCTTATTAACTTTATTTCGTTAATTACTTTTCCAATAAAATTAATTTCTAGCTCAACAGGGGTAAAAGTAAACCTTTTTCCACTTTGCTTGATTGAAAAAGAAAGCTGAACCAAGGAAGTATGCAGTCGGGTAAACAATGATGGACACAAAAAAGGTAAAAGAGATCGAGAAAAAATTACTGAGATATCATGATGCTTTTTTTTTTTTTCTTTATGTTAGATGTCAGGATGATTTAATAGTACCGCCGGTGACAAAGATGATTCAATGGAGGGGACACAAGTTATAAATTATAGTCTGCATTAAAGCACAAGCACCCTATGCTTGTCACCTTTTTTCTGCTTTATTTCACTTTTAATAAGGTCGTTTTAAATAATCATCTGAATTGTAAGCAATTATTTATAGCCTCGTGTTGCTTGTAGTTCTTGGTAAAGAACATTATCTCGGAGTTCAATTGTCTAATTGTCCGTATCCTGAGTTTAAATCTCTCTCCTCCAAAAGAAAAACAATAATTATTTGATTACAAGGGAGTACAAAATGTACTTATTATTAATAATTAAGTATAATATATAATAGTACAAAAAAAGATTTGAAAATTTAAATGCAAATAAGATTTGATGGATGGTATGGCATGTGTCTAAACGTTCATCGATATGTTTTCCAAACACGTTTATAAGTTCTAGATCGGATACAATTATTACTAGCCGTTAGGAGACATTAAGGGCACGTTTGAAGTATAGGACGGGATTGCATTAAGATTCAAAGATCTCATAGGATTAGATTAGATTAGATTAGATTAGATTAGATTGATTATGATAGGTCATATTAAAATCTAGGATAGTGATTGGTACACTATTCGGTTTAACACCTGGTTCAATACCTTCCAATTTAATTATTAAAAAATTATTATTTTTTAATCTGAAATTAAAAACAGACAAGTATAATGATGCAATCATACACACATGATACAAAAACTTGTTGAATTGATTGTATTTATATTATATTTTTAATAATTAAATCGAAAGGTATTGAATCAAGTATTGAACTAATGGGTGTACCAATCACTTTTCTAAAATCTAATGACATGTTTGATTAATTATGAGATAAAGTGAAATTAGAGATAAATGTTGTTTGACATTGACAAAAATATTTTTTTATTCAATTAAAATCAATATTTTTTATCTAATTTATTTTACAATAATTAGTTCCTACTTTGTTCAAAAAAATTACAATAATTAAATGTCAAACCAAGAAAAAATAAAAAGTTCAAATAACACACGAAATTCTCACCGTGATGATGCAAGTTTGTTCCATTTCCATCTCATACTTACACGGAGGAAAAAAAAGAAAGATAGAAAGGTAAATTTAATCTTCTTCAACCTTGTCCCCTGGGAGAGGTGGGATAATCTTTTTTAAGTGATACTCTTGTGGCTTGTTTGGAGCACATCATTGGATTGGATTGGATAAAGTTTATAGTGTTGGATTGGACTGAATTGAATTGGATAGAATGTGATATATTAAGTCCAATCTTATATTTGGTAACTTTTGAGATAAAATGAGATTAGATATAAATAATTATTTATAAATATAAATTTGCCCTTGTTAAAATTAAATCAAATTAATTTTAATTTTAATTTTAATTTTAATAGTAGTAACTTTTTTATTTCTTGTACAATAATTCGTTAACAATATTTCATTTGTAATTGTTGGAAGAGAATTTTCCTTCTTTTTCTCACACTACTATAGGGAATGAATATTCAGACTGACAATTTAGTCTGAAAAACCCCAAAATCGGTTTGAACATATATACACAGACCAATCTTGGTCTGTATAGTTGAATCGAAAAAACATGGTATGAAATAATAAAATATATGGACCGACAAAAAATTGGTCCGTATATTAAACTATTCAGACCGCAAACAAATTGTATATTTTGGTAAAAAAAAATTCAGGTCGTGATTATAAAATTAAAATTTACGGACCATAAATGGTTCGGATATTCAAAATATAATAATATAATTTCATAATTACAAACCGCAAATGGTCTGAATATTTAGGGAAACTGGTTACAGAAAATATATTCAGACCGACTTTGGTCTGAATATATATGTCCTTTTTTGTAAGAATGAAAAATTGGGCACTTGAATGGCGACCTAAAAAAGTATATTGAGATTGGTTTCGGTTTGAATATAGAGGACTCAATGGAAACTTTTAAAAATTATGCTACTAATGTGTAGGTTTTTGTAAAATATATTCAGACTGTTAGCGGCTGTATATATTGGACTTAGATGTAAATTATGAAATATCTGCAACCCATATTGTCGTGACATTGAAAATATATCCAAATTGTTATCAGTCCGTATATATTTGACTCAAATGTAAATTTTGAAATGTTTGCTGCACATATTATCCTGACATCAAAAACATATTCGGACCGATATCGGTCCAAAATTAAAG